CAGGTCCATAAAGTGTTATTGCTTTCCATTGAGGTCCATAAACCTTGAAAATACATTATCCTCTGCTGCTCGAACCTGCTACAGTCAGCTGATACTGTGTCAGTGTGAAAATAGGCTTTTATTTGTCCTTGCAGGGAGTTGTTGACGCCCCAGCAGCACTATGACTGGGGTTTGCGTGCTCTGAAGACTGTGCTGAAGGCCTGTGGCAGTCTCCTGCAGCAACAGAGGAGAAGCCATGACAAGGAGAAGAGTAAGTCTTCTCCCTCTGGCTATTTTTACTTTTTTAACATTATTTTCCGGGGCATGTTTAATGTTAACGCGTGACAAGAAAATTATAAGTAAATCATTGCAGCCCTGGCTGTTAGCTCGTCATTTTCTTTGCTGCCCAACACATATTTAAAACTAAAACACACTTTTCGTGCAAGCATTTATATTTAAACAGATAAAACAATGGTTACAAATTCAGAGTGTGAATATTTATTGATTTACACACTGTTTATTAAGTGGTCAAAACTATTTCATTGAGAGTGGGGTTTATTATAACCTATCAAAACAATCAATTAGCTGATATGACTGATGGTTTCTTTTTGTCAGAAGTTTGTTATAGTAAGAAATTGTTATTTTAGTTAGAATGACCGTTTGACAGAAACTGGATCTGTTTAACTTTCTGATCATGTGTCTTTATACATTTGAACAATTATAATGACATTTACAGGAAGGTGAATGTCATAGCTTTTATAAATCTACTAATAAGAGTATAAAACAGTTTTTATGTGACCATAGCTTTTGCTTTAACTCTAAAATGAATGGGAACTAAAGGAATTTGTTTTGCAGCGTCATTTTTTTGTACGTCAAATTGTGTGTGTGTTTGTGTTTGTGTAGTGTGGAATGTGGGTTGTGGGTTGTGGGGTTTGGGTAATTGTGTTTTTTATTTGTAATTTTAGTTTTCTCCAAGACAATTTCACAATAATTTTTTTTACAAAATAATAAAGAAAAAATAAGCTAACCCAGATATACATTTTTTAAATATATATTTTACTTTCCAGCAGTGACCAAATTATTTCTTTCTTGGTCACTAGCAAAAACAATATCAATCTAGATTATGTATGTCATCTTTATCAAATTTATTTTTATTTTTTTCTGTCAGCAGATCCTTCGTTTTTATGTCCAAAGCTGCTGCAGCTGAGTAAAATGTGACTGTTTAATTATTTGTGCTAACTGGATTGTCTATTTGACACTAGTTCGTTGTGCTAATGACATCTTCCTCCAGAATCTTCCTTCTGTTATTTATCAGGTTGCAGACAGCCAATAGTTGATAGAAGGGAATCTGCATCTTAATGCCAAATGTCTAAATATTCTTTTTTTAAATAATAATAATAACTTAACCTAAAAGTAGCATTTTATAGGTGTAGTCAACATTAATGCACATTTGGCTGGTTTGGAGATGCTTGTAATGTTTTCAACAAATGCCAAAAGAACTCTGGCATAACTTTCTACAACAAGTGTAGTTTTCTGTGGGATTCTGTTGATTTGGCTTGAATGTGCATGAATCTACTTGTACATCAAAGAACTCAGTAGACCAGCACTTTCTCTACACGTACTGTTTTTACACCAGTAAAAGCTCTTCCTTAATGAACTTTAACCTCAAATGCAACTCTAAAGTTATATTGCCATACTTTGTCCTTTTGTCTTTCTTAGTTTTTTGCTTCCCAGGTACGTTTGTCAAACTTCTGCGTTTTCCTCTTCAGTACGTCTTTTTTCACCTCCTCCCCCCTTCTTCTCATCTCTTGTTAGCTTTCTCTCTGATACCTGTCTTTTTGTCCTAATCTTTCTCGCACACTGCATCTTGCCCGTCTCTCCTTTGAAGTTCTTTCTTTTTTATTCTTGCTGCTCTATCTCTTTACTTTTTCCAGTGCTTTTTATTAATTTCCTCATTTTGTCACTTTCAAGTCCTTTTCGCCCTCTACCCCCAACTTGCAGACAGACACTTTGCGCACATCTCCTGTTTGTCGATGTTTTCAAGATTGTCAAGTGCTTGTCTCCGTATAAAATCTGACCGAGTGTTGCTGTGATAGAAATGCAACCTTATTGCCTGCAGGGAAAGCCAGTGTTTTGGAGTTGAGAACTAAAGTACTGACAGTCTCTTAGACCACGACTGGCTTCAGTAATAAAGCGTTATGTGTGAAATTTATATATTAATACATTTTATGCTTTTTCCTGATGTGTTTCTTCTTCATGCAGTCCAGGAGAGTAATCTTGTGGTGCAGGCACTGAGACTGAACACCATGTCCAAGCTGACATTTGCAGACAACTCTCGCTTTGATGCTCTAGTCAGAGACGTCTTCTCAGGGGTTAATTTCACCGACATGGAGGACCAGATACTAATGGATGCATTACAACAAGTCTACAAAGAGGCACAGCTTGAACTAATACCCAGCCAGGTGTACATTATTTCCTTAGTAATTTATTGTCTTGGCAATTGGTTTTGACAAAGGTACAACATTTGGATGATAATGCTTCAATGCAACACGTCATTTATAGTAAACTTTCAAACTGTTTATGTAAAGGTTGTTGAATAAAAGCACCTAACAGACTCATTGTTCACTGCTTCAGCTGAAAAAGGCTTTGGAGCTAAATGAGCAGCTCCGACAGCGCATGGGAGTAGTCATCGTGGGACCAAGTGGGGCAGGAAAGTCCACACTCTGGAAGATGCTCAGGGCTGCTCTCAACAAGATGGGCAAAGTGGTATGTGGAGAATTTCCACTTTGGCTTTTCATTGATTGAAAATTTTAGAGGACAGTTTAAAAAAAATGACAAAATTCCCATTTTTGTCATCTGAGCTTTCTTTTGTTGATTTTTGTAGGTAAAGCAGTACACAATGAATCCTAAAGCCATGCCCAGACAGCAGCTTTTGGGACATATAGACATGGACACCAGAGAATGGGCCGATGGTGTTCTCACACACAGTGCACGGGCTGTGGTCAGAGAACCACAGGGTAAGACAAGGATGCTGATTTGAAGGTCCAAAAAGTTTACTGACAATTTGTTTTCTTACCATCTGTTTGAAAAACATCATTTAGTTTTGTACTTCCTATACCCCCCCCCCCCCACACACACACACACACACACATAATCTTGTCTTTTTACACGGCACTAGTACTTGAAAAGAATCATGTAAGAAGTACAGTAATCCCTCACTTATCGCGGGGGTTAAATTCCAGACACCCGAGCAATAGGTGAAAGTCTGCAAAGTAGAGACATTATATTTATTTTAGTATTTATTTATCTTTTAAGGTTTTATAAACCATTTCCACACTCTTGCAATGTTCGTAACAATGTTCTAAGCTCTCTAAACCAGGAATACTCATTGCTCGACTCCCGAGCCACATGCGGCTCGCCATGCTTTATTGGTGGCTCTCGTGACAGGTTACAACAATACGTCAGCACAGCCAACACATTTTTAAAACGTGCTGGCGCATTGTACAATAATTGCTCATGTTGGCTCAGACTTCTTTGATGCGGTTTTATGAATAAT